GCACATTTGCACAGGTGGGTAGAAGGAAAGGCCTCCCAACTGGGCATTCTAGGAACACAAAAAGCATCTGTATCCAACAAGCCTCTAGAATTTAGTAGGGGTGCACTGATAAAGATTTTTTGGGCTGATACAGATGGCTGATTACTGACCAGCCATATCAGCTGATACTGATCCAGCAGCTTGGAGACCAGTGTCTGGCTGGTAAGTCTGGTGAGGGAAGGGAAGGGGCAAATCAAGGCCCCTTGGTGAGGGAGGGAGTGGAGTGCAGGACTGTGCTGGGGCTTCATCCAGAGGGTACGAAGGGGCAGGAAGCTTGTGCCACTGCATGCAGCCTGGGGGAAGCATGGAGAGGGGGGTGCTCCCTGGATCTGCATGGGGTGAGGGCAGGCTGCCACTGCATACTCGAGGGCTGCGCTTAGGCGAGGTGGGGTGGGCGGCGGTGGCAGCGACGCTGGGAAGTAGGAATGAAGCTCACCCCCCTCCCTGTGCCCCCTGGACAAGCTGGATCCATTCTGTGCCCTGCCCCAGCTGGACAATGGCTGCCCCAAGCCCCACGTCCTCCTTCACCAAGGTGCCTCTATCTGCCCCCACACCCCTTCCCCTACACAGACTTACCAGCAGGATGCCACTCTGCAAGCTGCCAGGCTGCACTCCTGGCTGCATGCATGCACAGCGTTTACCAGCGACATTATCAGCCAGGTCAGCCAAAAAAGGCTGATTGCCAATAACGTCCATTTTCCTCTCATCAGTGCTGATACAATACAAACCGATGTATCGGTGCACCTCTGGAATTTAGCTCTCCCCTCTCTAGGTGATTTATAGCTTCTGTGACTAGATCTGTCTAGCTTGCATGTAAGTTATCAGCTTTCAAAATACACCTGCATGCTTCATTGAGGATGAACACACCTGTGAGAAAGAAGCCTGTACACTACCCGAGTCAAATGTGCAGTATAATGGTTGCAACGTGTCCTTCCTCGTAGTCTACCACGAGGGGGCAGCATGTCACTAGTATAGGGCCAAATAGTTCATAATCATATGGCCCATGCCACCAAGGGGTAAGTGAAGGGAGTTCACAACTCCAACCTAACTGAAAACAGTCAAGTGAAAGTGGATAACTGCCAACACCAGGGACTCACTGGTGCTGGAAGAGGAGAGCTACCAACCCATTTCCTCATTGCCTGTACAGCACCTGCCTTGCATACCCACCATGGGAAGCTCCCTACTTTGGGCTTGCAACAAACAGCCTCATCTTCGTACCTGAGAGGCAAGTACTCATTCAATGGTTAAAACACGCAGCCATGTTTGAGGCCAGGCCTAGTCCAAGCTGGACTAACAGACTTTGAACAGTCCTAGATAGGAAGTTTCCTAATACCTAGAAAGATCTGGCAGAAAACCAGTGCCAGTTAATGATTTCCAGGCTAGGTCTGATAGCCTCTTGCATGCACTGCCCTCCAGGAGACAGGGATACCTCTGCTGCCAGAAACACCATGTCTTCCCCAAGTACCCCCCTCAGTTGGGACTTCAACCGGCCAGCAAAAAGCAGAAATGCCTACATAGTATTCTGGTTTTCCAATTATCTGGAAAGCAAATGCAGGTCCAAGCAAGAACTAATGTTCTTTGTACTGCTCCGTCTCCTCCATTTATATATCTCAGAGCGTTACAAACACTAATGATAAGCATCATTTTATGCAAAGGCCAACGGAAACAGATGAGTGTTGCACAGACAGCTGGTGGCAGTGCCAACTCACAGGTCCCTCCTTCAACTGCTGGATACCCCACAACTTAGCATCCTACATGGATCAGCACCTCAGTGAGGCAAATAATTTAAAAGAAGCTGCAAAATGCAGCTCTTTTAATCCCAGAGTTACAGTTTTGTATTTCTCTTAAAGCTCAGCAGGAGATGGACACATCTATAGGCAACAGCACTGATTACACTTACATGCAAGGGATGAAACTGTCCAGCTCCAGTCTGGCACAGAGAAAAGGAGTGAGAAAAGAGTGAAGAGTACAGAAGCAGAGTCTAGAATCCTTTCCCTGGCTACGTCACCTGGTCAGGAGAGAAAAAGCAAGGAAATGCAAGCAATGTAGACCTCCAGGTGCGGAGAGCGCCATATAGGCAGATATTCTACTCAGAAACTAGCAGCAGCCAGAGGGGAAACAAGCAATAGGACCAGGCACAAACTCTGCAACATATCTTCTTCCCCACACCTGAGGCCCTTCCCTAACTCAGACTGCCATAGAGGATGCTGTTACAAATATTTCTTCAGGCTACACAAGTTCCCTAGGCCTGGGCCAGCTCCACAGTCTAAAAGCAGTGTCAAGTGGAGCCAGTTTCTCACAGGAGTCCCAAGTATCCAGGGGTTCACAAACCCCTGCGTTAGTCCCAAACCCCTACCAGTGGAAGATCAAAGGCACCGACTGGCTAGGACAATCCATAATGCTGGTTCTCCCAGGACACTCCTGGGCACGGCTCCCAGCCTGAGACAAGCACTTGCTAGCACTGACCCAGTGGGGAACAGCTTTCCAGCAGTGCCTATGCTGCTCTCTCCAACACAACCCAATGTCTGGCAGTCCCCAAATACAGAAGCGGTGGGAAGGAAGTCTGAACTGAGATTCTGTCTGGCTCAGCGCACACTTTTCAGAGCATTTAGCTAACAACACACTGTCAAGTATTAGGGGTGCACCGATAGATATTTTTGGGGCCGATACCGATAGCTGATATTTGAGGGATATCACCCGATACCGATCCGATTTCCAATACAGCGTCCTCCAGCTGGTAAGTCTGTTGTGGTGGAAGGGGCAGGGGGTGGGAAGG